ATGTGGTTGGTCTTCAGGAGACGCCCAATACTTCATCTGCCTGGAGAATCATAAGGGAGGCTCTTGCCTTGGGAGGGAGGCTGTACATGATGTCCCCAAAGGTTCCTTCCAAGGCTGAGCTTCAGTGCCATGGGTGGGGCTGGCACTGTGGAGCTGGCCTGAGCACCCTCTCCACTCAAGAGCTACAAGCTGAAAATGCTGTCCTGGTTCTTGGCTCCCCCAGCCCAGTATTGTCATGGTAGGTCCTGGAGTCCTCACACAGCATCGCAAAGAGCCTCCATGTGTTCATTAGGATCAGGTGGGATGTGGGCACATATTGTATCAAGCACAGCTCTCTCTGCTTCCAGACAAAGCTATGAGTATTCAGGCTAACAAGTCTGTTAATCCTTTGCTATTCTCAAAGCAAACATGTTAATAATAATATGTAATATTCATTGAGTTCTTTTTCTGTGCCAAGAACTAAATGTTTTCACATATTAACTTGTTTAATCTTCACAACAATCCTACAGGGGTGTGCAGCATTTTATATATGAGGAACTCAAGAACATTAAAGGGTACCATTTTTGACTCAAGATGATACTTCCATTCAGTGGTGGAGCCTGGAGTTAAACCAGAGTTAAGCTTGGCCTCAGAGCCCAGAGCCTAGTGGGAACAGAGTTCTCCTTTTTGAATGTTTGAAAGATTCAGGGAAAAATAAAACTATCTTTTGACCCATTATTTTTCAGACTATGGCTGTGTCCCACTGCAGATTATGAAACAACAGATGGGTTGAGACTATTCTAAAAAATAGAGTAGATAGAAAACTGTCAGTGCACATTAGACATTTAAGTATCATCTTGGGTTTACAGGTGGGTGCTGCTTGTGATATAAAGTATATCTAGCTCACAGTCAAAAGAAACATCCTGGAGTTGCCCACCTGCTTATTTTACAAATGAATAGTTGAATACCCAGACAGCAACACAATTTCTATTATTACTGCTACTATTATTTATTAAATATGTTATTTATTATTTTTATTTTATGCATACGAGTGCATTGCCTGCCTGCATGCAAGTGCACCCGTGTCATGCAATGCCCATGGAGGTCAGAAGAGGGTGTCAGATCCCCTGGAATTGGAGTTACAGATGGTTGTTAGCTACCATGTGGGTGCTGGGAATTGAACCCAAGTTCTCAGCAAGAGCAGTCAGTGCTCTTAACTGCTAAGCCATCTCTCCAGCCTTTTACCACTACTACTACTAGTACTGCTATTATTGTTATATAATTATTATTATTATTATTATTAGCAAGTAAGCTGAAAGTAAATCTCAGTTTACATTATTCAGCTCAGTTGACTACAAAGAAAATCAAGGAAAGCAAAGCGAGGTGATACTAACAGCAGTGGTGGAACAGCTGTCTTCACCGAGCTAGCTGTGTGCCAGCTGCTTTCCTGAGTGCCTTAGCTATATTAACTGATCCAACCCTCAGAACAATCCAGTGAGGCAGATAGGAACACCACCTTCTTCTGTTTTCAAATAAAAGGACCCTGTCTAACAAGATCTGCATAATGAAAAAACCAGCTGACATGCAGGTGTGGATGGGGAAAGCCACAGGGTCCCACCTCAAGATGAAGAGCTACAGGCAATCAATGGATGCTGAGGGAGGGAGATTCAGTTTCCTCCAGGGACTAGTTTCCTCTATTATCTAATCCCAAGTAGGCAGCCCTAAACACAGGCCCACACAAGCACCACAGTGGACTCTGCAAAATGTGTGTATTTATAGATGTATGTATGTATATGTAATAATCAAATAAGAGAGAAGAAATTGAGAGGAAGTGGGGGTCATGGGAGGAGTTCGTGGAGGACTTGAGAGGGGTGAAAATAATATACACATGTGTGAATTCCCAAAAACATTTTTTTTAAAAAACCTAGAAAAAAAATTTGAAAAGTAGCTTGAATCAGAAAGGTCATGTTAAGTGGCCAGCATCATCTGGTAGTGGAGAAATCAGGGTTGAAGCCTAGATAGTCTGGCTTCAAGGTTCAAGCTCATATCAGTATAGAGTACTACACAACCTTCTGTGTCTTAATAGTCTTTCTGTGAAGAATTTGTCTTTACTTTGAATATTTGGGCAAGGAGATGATTGTCTCATGGGAGTTTATGAGGGTATTTTTCTCAGGGCTAGAGAGATGGCTCAGGGGTTAAGAGTACTGACTGCTCTTGCTGAGAACTTGGGTTCAAGTCCCAGCACCCACATGACAGCTAACAACTGTCTGTAACTCCAGTTCCAGGAGATTCGATGCCCTCTTCTGACCTCTGTGGGCATTGCACAACACAGGTGCACTTAACACATGCAGGCAATACACTCATACACATAACCTAAAAAAAATGATAAAATATTTTAAGAGTATATTTTGACATAATGAGATTATCATTTTATATTATAAACAGTATGTTTGCATTCCCACAAGATATTGCCAATTAGGTGTTCAGATATATTGCGGGGGTAGTTTTGACATCGAGTTAGAGGATGTATGAGATTTTGGTTCACAAGGATGTTTTAGTTTGTGGTTCTAACAGATGCTCTGTGCAGGAGAACTTCTCCAGGGCATAGATAGCAAGTTCTACCCAAGATGAAGAATCTACAATAAGAACCCAAGGGAAGGCCGGGCAAGGTCTGGTTCACCCTCAACCTTCTCCTCCATCTCTCACCATCTTGGTATTTGCTAGGTACCTCCTTGGAAGTCTTCAGTCAGGTCATCTGAATAAACCTCATCCCTAAGACCAGGAAGAGCTTCCATAAAGAACCATAACCTCGTCACCACATTTCCTTCCAATGGGAGTAACCGCTACTGACTGTACTTTCATGCACTTCCTTCATGAAGCTTTTCCCAGAGGTCAACATGAAGGTTCAGACAAGAACCTAGAAAGGTAACACTGACCACACACTGAGCAGAGATTGTTTCTTCCAATAAGCTCCAACCCATTCAAAAATTTCATCCCACACAGTTACTCAAAAACTGCAGGTTCAAAGGTAATAATAATCAAAAATGCCTCCTCAGGCTTCCATCATGAACAACTAAGGAAGTGTGGCAACATTTTCACAAGATTAGGAAACCACGTTCCGCCCTCCTTTCCAAAGCTTCCAAGATGTCATCATAAATCCCATTCAGTCTCCAAGCCAAGAGTTTTTCTGTGTCATGCTGGACAGAACTGCCACTTACAGAACTCTCCTCTGTCTTGGATGGAAATCTGTCTTCCCAATATCCACCCATTGGTTCAAGTTCCACCCTCTGGTCAAGCAGAACATGTCTGTCCGTTTCTACACGGCAGTCCTTCAGGTATCAGAGGAGAGCTATCCTCCTCTTCATGTCTTGTCTTTAGACAGTATCCTACTCCATCCCCCCAACCTCCAGATTCCTGTCCTAGGTCTCCTACCCAATGTCCTTTTCCCTGAAACACCCTTTTGTTACCTAAAAGTTCCCATTTCAGAGCACTTGCAATGCCATAGTCTGGCTTTTCTACTGGGCTGAAATGCTTTCCAAACATTCCAGAAATTTGTTATGGTCCTGGCAGCCAAAACCACAAAACCCAGATCCTAAGCTCTCACCGAGCAGCCCAAGCACATGTTCAAGTCATCCTCTGGTTGGCTTGGGACATGATAGATCTTGCTGGACACCATCCTTTGGTTGCTGAGATGAATCATGAGTTTCTCTCATTGTTGCTGTTGGCCATCCCCCAGGGCATGGCTTGGTGAGCCGGCACCACCCCTGATGCCCTGAGAGTGGAAATCTAAGGCACAGGCAGCATTGAGTATCCCATTACAATACCCAAATGGTTTGTCCCACTTGATGGGGGAGTGAGTCAAGATCAGGGAGGCCTGGGCATCTGTCTCAAGCTTTCCAGCAAAGGATCTTCTATAAAGGCTGAGTCTCCAGATTCATGCCCTTGAGTTAACTCAAGTACCGCACCCTGAGCACTCCAAGTCAGCTCTGCCTGGTCAGCAGCCTTGTTCCAACCAATTCCACCCTCTTCCACACAATAGCAGTCCTTCCAGAGTGTACCACCACAGCACTATCTACACTCCCAGGGTGCCCACTGCATGCCTCCTTCATGGGGCTCTAGTCATATGACCCAGCTTCAGCCTCTAGACTGGAAGATCCTTGAGAGAATCTCCTGGGTCTTACATAGCTGAGTCTTGGTCTTAGCACGGAGCCTGGCACAAAGTGGGTTTTCATGCGATAAAAGTGATCCTTTGCCCCCACCTTGTCAAACTCTCCATGAGAAGGTGGGAAATGAGCAGCCCTCCTTCTGGGAGAGAGCCAGGAGGAGACAGCCTGGGCTTTACTGTCTCCATCATGGCAGGATGGTCTGCAGGTGGGGAACTGAATTGCTCAAAGCACAAGATCAGCAGGTTCCCATTTTATCCCTTTCTGTATTCAAGACCTCTGCTTCTCCCTGGCCAGAGATGTGCTACAAACCCCAGCTCATAAACAAAATCAAGGAAGAGCCTGGTTGCATTAAAGTGGACTTATTCTACCATGTCCCCCCCACACCCCATCTGCCTCCCCACCCAGGTAATTGCAAAGGATAGCAGATTTCCCCAACCCTGATGAACCTCAGCAAAACAGTGCTATGTGACTATTTTCATGGTACCCCAGGAAAAGAGCTAAGATAAACTCCAGGCTGCTCAGTACAATCCACACCCCAGAGGTCAGGGAGGTCCGTGTGCTACGTGTCCCATAATGATGCAAGAAAGAATGTCAGAAGCCACACTGGGAACCTGGATCTACTGTACTGCTTTCAGAGGCGCCACAGTCTCAAACAGCTGTGCCAATGTGTCCCACATGAAACAGGAGATGCTACTAAACTGCCATGCCCATCAGAAAGACGAGCCAGTCTCTTCCTCTCTGATTTCTATAGCAACCAGGGCAGTGTTTGAGCTCATGACCGTGGGAATGTGGAGCAGAGACCCTGGGTCTTCCTTTCTCATCCCCAAAGGCCAGGACCAAAGGGGATGCTCTTACCTGCTAAGATGAAGATTCCCACAAGAATGAGGAAGACCAGCAGGTAGAGCCCCAGGACGGCATGCTTCAGGGCTGACAGAGAGCCCAGCTGGGTGCAGCAGCCACCTGTGCGCCGTTTGTGACATGGACCTGCACAGTAAGGGAAAGGGGAGAAACAAAAAGATGTTTGAAAACCCCATGAGCTGTTTTCCTCGCTGGGTCTCATGTCTCACTTTGCACACACATGTTCATGTGGAACCTCTCATGCCCTTCTTCATACCTGTAATGCAACCACTTCAATGAGGAACTTTCTAGAACCATCACAACAGGTTCAGCTTTTTGTCTTCTGCCTACCTTCTATTTCATGAACAACTCAAGCAGGTTGAATATCTGTCCTTTACCCAGCGTCATTGTCTTATGTGATCTAAGGATTATGGAGAAAATTTAAAATAAGACTTGCTGGGCCCATAAGATAGGTCAGTGGGTACAGGTGATTGTTGTGCAAGCTGAGAGGCCTGAATTTTATCCCTGGAACTGATAAAGGTAGAAAGAGAAAAACAGCTCCATAAAGTTGTCCTCTGACTTCTACTCATACACTGTGACATGTGTACCCACGCATATACATCACACACATGCACAATACTCACACACACAATAATAAATTTTGAAGAATAGGACTCTCAAGCCCCACCTCTTACAGTGGTCAAGAATGTGTGGAAATGAGCAAAATATTCAGTCTGGACTGTGGACAAGCATGCCCATTCTAGAGAAGGTTGATGTACCTGAATGAGAGCTATGTTGTAAGATCTAGAAGTTTTGAGACATGTTAGAAAGTACTCAAAGACATCTCCCTATTTTTAATGAGGGTAACTACTTAAGAACTAAAAACACTGGAGAGTATAAGTAAAACACATTAGTGAGCCAAATCTGATCACCAGCTTGCAACCTTGGGGTTAAATTTACCAGAAATCATGGTAACATCATCTTGTGCAATTATCCACAATTCACCAATGTCTACCCAAAATAAAACAGTGACTGTCATGGTGGGCCTTATGTACGATGTGGCTGACTTCTTTGGGCTAATATCAAATGTTAAGCAATCAAATGCCTGTTGTATTACTTTTCTTATAATGACAAAATTCCTGGAAAAAAAAAAAACAACTTAAAGAAGGGTTTATTTTGTCTCAAGTGTACAGTTTCACTTGCAAGGAAGGCATGGTGGCAGGAGTGTGAGGGCATACTGTGCCCACAGTCAGCAAGCTGAGGGAGATGAATGTTGGTGCTCAGCTCACTTTCTCTTTTTATGCAGTCTTGGACCCCAGCCCATGAGACGGTGCTACTCATACTCAGGGTAGATAGACCCTCTTCTATTAAACCTTTCTGGAAACTCCCTTATGTGTATACCCAGAGATGTGTTGACGTTCATGATTAACCAACACGACTGTAATCCAAGCTACTTGGGAAACAGAAGCAGGAGGATCTCAAGTTTAAGGCATGTCTGGACTGCATAGTGAGTTGAAGGCCAGCCTGGGCAACTGAGTGAGACTTTGTCTCAAAATAATAAAAAGGGGTGTGGGCAGTAGTTTAGTGGTGCAGTGCTTGTCTGGAGAGCATAAGGCCCTGGGTTCCATTCTCAGTACCACAGCAACATCAACTGTTAATGACAAACCCTGCACAGGATCTAGACAACCTGTCAGTTCAATTTGTCCCTCAAAGCAGTCTTTTTAGAGACCGGGAAACTTACTAACCACTACCTGCTATGCCAATCAAAGGAGGCTAGCAAGAGGCACTTTTCCTCACTGACCCAAGATGGCTTGTAAGAATCACTGTGGAACATTTTCCTCAAAACACAAAGCTTCTGTTACACTCACACTCCCTGGAGGAGGCAGACCAGAGGGACTTCCCTTTACTACTCGGGTATACCAAGTTCAGAGCAGGACAGGGTTGGCAAGAGATACTGAAGTCTGATATTTATAAAACGTGAGAGATGGTAAGGCATTCGTTTGCAAGTCCTTGGCACATTTCATTGGTGCTGAGGACCTTTAAGAGCTGTTTCCCTCTCAGCTATCCCTGCTACCTCCTTCTTGACCTCAGGAGGTCTTGTTACCAAGAGGAAACAATGGGTGGCTATAAATGCCTTTGAATCCAAATTGCCCTGGATCTCCAGAGGAGTTTTTTTTTTACTTGACTAACATTTTCCCATTCATGTAACTCTCTTTACTGCAAACACTGCCTTTTTTATTTTGATCTTTTTGAGACAGGGTCTCCCTGTAGCCCCAACTGTCCTGGAACTCACTATGTAGACCAGGCTGGCCTTGAACTCACAGAGATCCACCTACCTCTGTCTCCCAAGTGCTTGGACTAAAGGCGTGCACCCAGTGCAAACACTGCCTTTAAAACAACTAAGCAGAGCTATTATATAATATTTTATAAAACAAGTTGTCAAAGAAATGAAATCAACAATCATTCTCATGTCAGCAAATTTTGAGAGTCAATTTCATTTTCTAGGAATATTTGAATAGAGCATAGCTTTCTACCTTACCCTGAATTTTCTTTCCTAGAATTTTCCATCTCTTTCTATGCTAGGATCCAACTAGTTTTCCTCCTGAATATGTAGACTCTGGGAGCATTTTGTCTTTCTCATCTAATGAGAGATACTAGTTGTCTCACTGTAAGGTTATCAGAGAAAAGGCTGTCTCCCACAAAGCCAGAGCTGTAGGCACAACATTGTATACTATTACACAAATGTTAGTTTTCATTACCCCAACAGGAGTTCAGCTCTCCTGCTCTGGGCCTCCCTTCCCCCAGCCTCAGGACAGAGCAAGAGAAGAAAAGGTCAGACAAGCATATTACTAACTCAGGTCTAATCTTTGTCACTTGTATCGTTATTGCTAGTTTACCATCAGAGTGGGGTGGGTGCACTGCACTGATACTGTTCTATTTCTTTCCCATTAAAGGGAAGCCCCTTTTCCTTTACCTGCACCTTCTATTTAATAGTGAGCACCCACCTTTGACAGGTCCTTTGTCAACCAAAGAAAGAAACTGGGCCTTCCTTTAAGGAGGCTTAGTTCTTTTAGGAAATTGATCTTTTTTTTTTTTTTTTTTTGGTCTTTTTGAAACGGTCTCCCTGTAGCCCCAGCTGTCCTGGAACTCACTATGTAGACCAGGCTGGCCTTGAACTCACAGAGATCCACCTGCCTCTGCCTCCCAAATGCTGGGACTACAGGTGTGAGCCATCACGCCCGGCTCATGGAAATTGATTCTTTTGTATACTCAACAAAACAATTTTTTTCTTTAAAAAAAATTTTTATTTTATGTGTATGTGTATGTGTATATTACCTGCATGTAGGTAAGTGCACACATGTCATGCAATGCCTGTGGAGGGCAGAAAAGGCTGTCGGATCCCCTGGAACTGGAATTACGGACAGTTGTTAGCTGCCATGTGGATGCTGGGATTCAAACCTGGATCTTCTGCAAGAACAACCTATGTTCTTAACCGCTGAGCCATCTCTCCAGCCCCAACAAAACAATTTTCAATAGAACAGAATAAGGGCTTCAGAGACACATTTGCATACGTGGTTAGACAAGCGGACCACAAACTGTCTGGCAAGCTGCTCAGAGAACATGACTATTAGGAAAAGAGAAATTAAGAAAAAAACGAGTTACATGACTGTCTCAAACACACTTAGGGACTTTAAAAAAGTTTTTTGGTGGCAGCAGCATGTTAACTGGGTAAACAACTCAAATTATTTAAGTTCAATGGAAGATTAAAAACACTCCAAAATGACATCAGCAGTAAAGCCAAAACAAAGTGTTTGCTTGCTTTTTATATTTAGAAAAAAGTAAAATAAATTATCTATAAAACCATGAGAATAAATGGAAGAAATTTCTGTTATTATTGTACTGTTTTTTGTTTTTTGTTTTTTGTTTTTGTTTTTGTTTTTGTTTTTGTGTGTGTGTGTATGTGTGTTTTGCTGGGAATCTGTTGTTTTGAGACAGGGTCTTGCTGTACTAGCCAAGACTGGTCTTGAACTTGACATCCTCCTACCTCTTCCTCCTGAAGGCTCGGTTTATGGGCATGATGTGGAGAATTTTAAATGGATAATTTCAAATGCTTTGTAAAATCCAAATAAATGATATCTGTGAACAGCAAAAGTATGGACTTGGAAAAGAATGGGGGTTGTGGGGGAAGAGGATGAACAGTTGAGGCTCATGACACTGTCATGGCGGGTACATGTGCCATCTGTTTTCCTGGATTCTGTGCAATTACATAGCAGCTGCAAATCACAAGGACTATGGGTCACAGTGTTTGGCGCTAGTCTGCCTGAGTTCACCTTTCCTGCACAGAACAGCTGATCCAGAACCTGCCCCTATTCACCTCTGTACCTGGCTCTCACGCACCAAACCAGTATGTCTCCTGCCCTAGGCCATCTTAGGTCCACACATCAGACAGCTAGAGACTACCTCTACAACCCAGAGCCCACCTGAATTATTCAAACTAGCCAGACCTGAAGTAGTCACTCTGCCTTGGTCTGACTCTCCCAGGAAGCCCCAGTGAGGCTTCTGGCCTCTCCCTTCACATCCTCTTGCCTCTGGATGAGCAAACTAAGCTTTCCCCAGGTGTCCCTGCAAAGTGTATGCATCTCCTTCTCTCAAGAAATATGAGGAACAGATCCTTCTTCAACTGCCAGTGGCCCATTATAACCAATATACACCCTGATGGGGAATATTGACAATGGAGGAGGCTCTGCAGGGGGGACCCCAGGGGCTGGATGAGAACATCCCCTACTTTCTACTTAATGTTACTATAAACCCTAAACTTGCTATAAAAACATTAAATCTACTAAAAACAAATAGTGGTTTTGACTTTGAATTGTAACGGTCAAACTTAGCAGGCATTCCTTGGACAGCCACTGTCAATGGCCTTTAAGATGGCCTTCAATGATCCCTGCCCCTTGTATAGTCAGTTCTCTTCCACTTTGCTTATTGTGTGGCCAATAGAGCAAATTGAATATGGCTGAGGGGGTGACGTGTTACCTCTGAGAGGAGACAGACACTGTGGCTTCCTTCTGCTCACTCTACCTCTTAGGACAGCCACTTGAGTAGAAGCCAGAGTCTAAATCATGGAGAGGCCCAGTGGGAATCTGAGG